GCCCTGGCTGCTTCCCACCAGGGCTGCCCCTTTTGGGGGGTGGGGGTGGGGGGTAGGAGAGGGTCAGGCCCTGCGGCCGCAGATGGCCAGATGGCGTGGGGATTTCCTGGCATAGAAACGCAGCTGGTCTTTAAAGCGGCTTACAGGAGAGATGTGGAAGGCAGGGCCAGAGGGCACCCACGTCCCCCGTTCGTCAGCCGAGCGCCCACGGGGGCGGGGGCATCAGCAGTGCCCAGAATGCGTCTCTACCTCCCTGGGCAAAACAACCAGGTCAAATGGGGCTGATAACGCTGCCCCATCACCTTGCCCTCCCCCACCGTGTGGGTGGTCCTTGAGCAGCCCCTTCCGAAGCACCAGGCCCATCCCAGGGCCTTTCCCAGCCTCCCTTCTGCCCGTGCCCTCAGCCAGGGGCAAAGGCCAGCGCCTTGGCGTTCGTCCTTCCCTCGCTCCCTGGGTGCCGGCTTCAGGTGCAGCTGTCCACAGCGGGCACTGCCGCCGCAGACTGCAATGCTGTCTCTCTCCTGCAGGGGGAGGCCACAGGAGCAGAGGCCATGTCCCACGAAAAGAGTTTCCTGGTGTCCGGGGACAACTATCCACCGCCCAACCCTGGATACCCTGGGGGACCCCAGCCCCCAGTGCCACCCTATGGACAGCCTCCCTACCCCGGGGGGCCCTACCCTCAGAGTTCCTTCCAGCCCACACCCTATGGGCAGCCAGGGTACCCCCAGGGGCCTGCCCCCTACCCTCAAGGCGCTGTTCCGTACCCACAGGGGCCGTATCCCCAAGGGGGCTACCCACAGGGGCCGTACCCCCATGGAGGTTACCCGCAGGGGCCATACCCCCAGAGTCCCTTCCCCCCCAACCCCTATGGACAACCCCAGGTCTTCGAGCCACAGGACCCAGGCTGTGAGTAGGGACCGGGGTGGGAGGGGGTCGCTGGGCAGGCCCTGAGGGAAGTCTGAGTGCTGACTCTGCCACCCACCCTTAGCTCCTCTGCATGGGAACTACCATGAAGAAGGGCCGCCGTCCTACTATGACAACCAGGACTTCCCCGCCACCAACTGGGACGACAAGAGCATACGACAAGCCTTCATCCGAAAGGTTCAGGCCCGGTGGGGCCGCGAATGGGGAGCAGGGGGGGGCGGGGTGGGGGGCGCCGGGGCAGGGTGCGCCACAGCCACTGAGCCTCTCCCCAACCCTTGCAGGTGTTCCTGGTCCTAACCCTGCAGCTGTCGGTGACCCTGTCCTCCGTGGCCGTGTTCACCTTTGTGGACGGTGTGAAGGACTTTGTCCGGGCGAACGTCTGGACCTACTACGTGTCCTATGCCATCTTCTTTGTGTCCCTCATCGTCCTCAGCTGCTGTGGGGACTTCCGACGCAAGCACCCCTGGAACCTCGTTGCACTGGTAACAACCCCCCCCCCTCGGCCCCTGCCCCCAGTCCAGCCCCTGGCGCCATCTGCCCACAGCACAGCCACAGCGGATGCCCTTCCCGTCTCCCTGCAGTCCATCCTCACCGTCAGCCTGTCCTACATGGTGGGCATGATTGCCAGCTTCTACGACACGGAGGCCGTGATGATGGCCGTGGGCATCACCACCGTCGTTTGCTTCACCGTGGTCATCTTCTCCATGCAGGTGAGCACCCCTGCCCCCTCCCCCAGCCGGGCAGCACACCCCCCCCCCCCGGAGCCTGGCACCCAGGCCCCTGCACTGTGTGCCCGCAGACCCGCTACGACTTCACGTCGTGCATGGGGGTGCTGCTGGTGAGCGTCGTCGTGCTGCTCATCTTCGCCATCCTCTGCATCTTCATCCGCAACCGCATCCTGGAGATCGTGTACGCCTCGCTGGGCGCCCTGCTCTTCACCTGCGTGAGTGGGCCGGCGGGGCGCAGGGCGGGGCCCGGAACTGGGACCGGCACCCTCTCAACGAGGCTGCGCCGTGTGTTGCCCAGTTCCTGGCAGTGGACACCCAGCTGCTGCTGGGCAACAAGCAACTGTCTCTGAGCCCCGAGGAGTACGTGTTTGCCGCGCTGAACCTGTACACGGACATCATCAACATCTTCCTGTACATCCTCGCCATCATCGGCCGTGCCAAGGAGTAGCCACGCCGCCCGCCCGCCAGGACCCTGCCCCTGGCATGGCAGTGCCACCAAACCTCCCCCTCTGGTCCCGGGCCTGGCCTTGGCGGAGGGTGCCCTTGCCAGCTGTATGTACACTGCAGACACTTCGTGTGGACCCGCGTGGCCATGCATGGTCTCCTTCCTGTAGCCCTCCTGCCCTGCCCGGGCTGACGGCAGGGTGTCCGTGCCCTCCCTCCCACCCCCCACCCTCACCCTTCACTGTTGCATGAGCCTTGCCTGCCAGTCCCGCCCAGGGTCTGGGGGCAGAACCAGGTCCCAGGGAAGAGGGAATGAGCCAAGAAGAGGGTGCACGTCTCCTCTCCTGCCCCATCCCTAGCCTGGCATCGCCGCCGTATCTCCCTCATGCTGGAGTGCCGCCCTCTCAGGTGGGAGGGCAGGTCCTCCCCTTTGCTGAGCCCCAAGGCAGGGGTGGGGGGAGGGGCCGGAAGGACACCGCCTTCTGTTCTGATGTCATTAAAGTTCAATAAGCAGAAAGACCTCTGCCCTGTTGGGTCTCTGGTCTCATGGCAACCGCTGCTGCGCCGTGGGGGCGGGGCTCAGTCACCTGGGCCACATGAGGGGGCACAGTGCAGTCCGAGGCCTAGAGAAGGCAGTGAGCAGTGGGTCCTAGAAGCACGCCCCCCCACGTCTGAGCCATGTCATGCACTCTGGAAACGGGGACTCTTGAGGCCCACAAGGTGGGTGAGGGGGTCTGGCTGTCTCCTGGGGATGAGTGCAAGAGTAGGGGCCCGGGAGCAAGCTGGCCCTGCCCCAGGGGATCCCTGATGCCCAGCCATTATCAGTCCCACGCCCTGTCGGCCAAGTCCCACCCCACCCCCCACCTCTGCCCTCATACCAACCCTTCCTAGGGCAGGCTCCTGGTCCTGACCCCCCAGGCATACCGGTCTCCCCTAAAGCAGGGTCTTGGGATGCACTGCACCTGTCTGCCAGCATGTCTGAGTGAGCGGTCATCTGTGCCTGCCTGCAGCCTTTGGAACAAAGTGTACACGCCCCTGCTGTCTGCCCCCCTCAGCCCTGGGGAGCCCCGCCCCTGGGCACTGTCTACCACTCTCGCCCCTCCCTGGGTCCCCCATGTCCTCATCTGGTGCCTGGAGTGGTCATACACCCCTCCTGCATGGAGCAGCACCCCCCACCCATATCCATAGGGAAGTTGGGGCATTTATTGGAGCATTGGGACCACAACTGGCCCCAATAGGACGGCAGTCCAGGGTGGGAGCAGACGCCTGGCTGGTAGAACCTAGGGAGGGCAGGGGCTGTAGGCCTGGGGCAGGGGCAGCTCCCGGCCAGGGCCCCACTGCCGAGGACCTGGGAGGTGGGCATGTCTAGAAGTCCCAGAGAAACAGGTCAACCTGCCTGAGTTCCCAGGTGACAAGAGTGGCAACCCCAGTGCCAGGGGGTGGCCTGCCCTCACCAAGAGGGCTGCTGGCACTGGGGTGGCCTGCCTGCACTGATAAGCCTCCGTGTCGGTTGTAGAAGGGCACCATCAGGCAAGGCCATCCTCTGACGCCTGTGGTGGATCAGGGCCACACTGCAGTCCTATCTAGACCAGACAGGGCCACCCCCACTCCAGCAAGCCACAAACAAGCCCATCGAGGCCACCACCCTTGTGTTAGTCTGGGTACACTAGAGAAACAAATTCATAGAGACTCATGTGTTTAAGAAAGAGCTTTATATACAAGAGCAATAGAATATTGAGAAAACATCCCAGCCCAGTCAAGATCCAATCTATAAAGTCCTCTGAGACCAGGAAACACATGCAATGACGCTGAATGCAGCAATGGGTGCAAAGTCTTGTGGATCCAGTGGTGGTGTAAGCATCTCAGTGCTGGCAGGTGTCTCCACGTGGTTCCCTCAGCTCTGAAACTCCGACTGCCTCAGGGTAGCTTCATGTGGCTCCTCAAAAATGTCTCAGGGAGTGAGCCGTATCCAGTAGTCTCCAAGGGAGTGAACAGAGAAAGAGTCTCCTGCCTACAAGGAGGAAATCCAGAAGTCCCCAGAATCCTCAGGAGAAGGCCACACCCACACAGAGGCCTCATTGGCTGTGATCTGATTACAGGCTAGACTCCACCCCTTCACTCTGAATCCCAAATTGACAACCGATTATATAACTACCCCCAGGCCCGCCCTCTGAGTGGAGGGGCCAGTGTCTCCCTGGGTGCCCCCTTTGCGGGCACGCTCCCCGCAGGTATTCACAGAGGAGCCCCAGGCCTGCCTCAGATCTCCCCAAACAAGCCCCCTGTGGTTTCCTCCTTGCACCCCATGTCAGAGACTGCCCAGGCCAGGCGCCCTCTGCCTCAGTGGACCAGGCTCCGCTCTGCAGCCCTGGGTGGTCACCTGCTGCCCTCAGAGGGAGGACACCGCATGGGGGAGGGGGCCACAGCCAAAGAAGGGGCACTTGTGTTTTCACCGGCAATGTTTGTTTGCCTAACAAGCCGATTCTGACTCAGTGGCGACAGGACAGAGCAGACACCAGCACTCTGCAGGAGTAAAAGCCACGTCGTTTTGCCGTGGAGCAGATGGTGGTTTCAAACTGCTGACCTTAGGATTAGCAGCCCAGCCTGCGTGTAAGTAATTATTACATCGGACAGAGCCTCAGATGTTTATTGTTTTACTAAAGAGACCTCGCACTTCTGTGCTCCAGCTGCACTGCGGCCAACAGTGAGCTGCATGGCGGCACCCGCCGCTACGGTCCAGAGTCCAGCGTTATGGTAGCTTTGGGGGGCCTTATTTTCGAGGGGGATGCCTTATATTTCAGCAAGAGCCAAAACTGTAAGTAGGTCTTATTTTCGGGGGATGTCTTACTTTCGGTGAAACAGGGTAGTAGACGCTGTGCAGAAGCAGACTCCATGGCCGGAGAAGCAAAACCCCAGTAGTTAACACGGAGGGAGGGCGGCGCTGCCAGACCACGTGCCGCACTGTCCCCAAACTGATGAAAACTTAAGAGGAGCGATTTCAGGTAACCAGAAAAAGATACATTACCTTCCAAAGAGGTGCAGGAACCTTGGAGGCCAGACGACAAGGAGTGGTTTCCTTCCAAGAAGACATTGTGGAGCTACAACTTCCGGATCCAGTGAAAGCACCCTGCAAAGTCGAAGGTACGAAACCAGAGTGAGAGCCTGAGAGTGAAACCCTTCTGAAGGGCCCAAGACTGGATAAGTAACAGAAGTGGCTTTGGGCTCAAAGGGCCTGGGAGCACAGGGCCCGGGAAGAAGCCCCAGAGCCACACTCGATGCCATGCAGTCACTGCTGACGCGCAGCGGCCCTGCAGGCAGGTGGAAGTGCCCTGGGATTCCCAGACCCACTGTCACAGGAGTCAGAGAAAGCCCTGACTTTCATCCGCGGAGCAGCTGGTGGTTTTGAATTGCCAACCTTTCCGTTTGCAGCCCAACTCCTAAACACCAGGGATCCCTGGGAAGATAGGAAAGCAGAAAACGCAACTGAGAAATGCATGTTGACGGTTTAAAGCCTAACCACAGTGCTTTGTGGGACTTATAAAACCCTGTTACACAAAAGAGAGTTAAGTGATCCAAGGTCTTTGTATTGTTTAGGAAGGGAAAGTAGTTTTAACACAATGAAGGACTCATGTGTTCAAGTCTCTAGGATACAATGACAAAAGAATATACAAATAAAAAGCTAAGTGGGAGAGGGGAAGGTGGTGGTCATCTTACTGGACCCCGAAGTGGTGTCTGGCCGAGTCCACCGCACGTTCAGGCCAAGCATGCAGATGGAGCGAGGTGGAAACTTCCCGTGGCAGTTGGAGTTCATGCCAACGTAATGGTCCCTCTGCTGAGGGAGGGTTAGAGCCAACCTGTCAATCAGGCGGTGGCTTGGTGATGTCTCCTGGGGGGTGGTCCTATAAGGTACCGGAAACTTCTCTCTCTGTCTGTCTCCCTCCCTCTCCTGCTTGCTGGCTCCCTGTGGGCCGCTCATCCAGGGAGCTCTTGGGTCCTTGCCATGTTCCCCCCAACTCTTGATCCAAGCGACTCTGCACCCACCAGCCTGGAACACCCTCCACCCCACCCCTGCATTCCGTTTCACCTTTCTGGCTCACTGGCCTGCAGCTCCGTGGGTCTGGAGAGGGCTCCGGGCAGCCTCGGACCCATGGGCTTGCGCTGGACTGGCTGGGCTCCTGCTTGATCTGAGTGATTCTGTTCTACGGAGATGAGTGTCCTCGCTTCTGTTTCTGCAGACAACCCAGCCTAACACGCGTCCTTCGTCCAATGAAGAATGCCAACAGAGCCCCGGCGCAAGCATCACGCGGACGAGGGATGGGAGAAGACATTTCGTCCGAGCGTGAGACGGGGCAGGGCGGGGCGGTCTGCTGTCATCCCTCCACTTGGAATCCTCGGTGCTTCTGACTGGGCAGCAGGGCAAGAAACAAACCCGAGGCGTCCAGGAGTAGGAGGGAAGAGACGCCGTGATGGGGACAGAGGGAATCCAAGCTAAGCCACAGACATGCCCCTTGATGAACAGAAGCTCAGCATGGGCCAGTATTGAAAAGCCAATTGCATTTCTGCATATGACCCAGTAGAAAAATAAGAGGTTTGAACGTCAGCATTCACCCTGGCTTGTGAAGTGTAAGACCCAAGAAGACCTTAAGGAGAGGGGGGTGCCCTTCCCTGACATACACAGACCCAGGGCTGTGGGAGGGACTAAAATGCCTGAAGCTGCGGGCTCACCACCAGGCAAGGCCCACTGTGACTGGCAGAGCCGGTGGAAGGCAGGCGACCCCCCTGAGGCGGATTGGCATGGGAGCCGTAGCAGCGGGCTCCAGGGGACCGACAGGAGGCTGGCCCAGCATCTAGAGGTGTCTTGTTCTGCTGTGTACAAGGTCACCTGGAATCGGAGGCGACTGCATTGTCATCGTCATGGTCAGGGTGCGTTGAATCCACTCCAGCCCATCCCTACCCTGAGCACCACAGCGGAACACCAGCCCAGCCTGCGCAGGCCTCACGGCGGTTACCCTGCCCATGTCCACCAGTGTCCCGCTGTTCGTGCGGCTTTCCGTGGCTGATCCCTCCAGAGTGGACAGCCCGCTCCTTGTCTGCAGCCTGCACTTCCGCTGGACGCTCCGCTGAAACCTGCTGGGGTCGGAAACGCCCGTGACGGAGCTTCCAGCGTGGTAGCCACGCCGACAAACTGATCGGTGGGCGAGGGGTGGGCTAGCTGCCTCCTAATTAATCAAATAAGAGGGTGGGAAATTGGAAAGCACAGCACATAAACCTCAGAAAAGGAACCCTGCCATCGAAAGCCCCCCCACAGAGCTGCAGCCCTGGAGGGATTCCACGGCCAGGATCTTCCAGAACAGCTGCTGGGCTGGGCCCGCAGGCCCTTCAGCCAGCCTCAGCTACACCGCCAGTCAGCAGGGCTCCCGCGGAAGCACAGGGGAGAACGGACAAAGGCCGCTTCTAAGTGCACCTGGAACATTCGCCGTTGCTGGCCATGGGATCGCGCGTCACAGCACGGTTGAAGGAGG